AACTCCTGTCCTCCTGCCCTAATCACCCGCGGTGAGGTACCAGACAAGTAGTATACCCCATAGTGCACTGAAATTATTCAATGTGGCTCACCCTAAGCCTGCCTGCCCTGCCCGCCTACTCCTTCCTAGGGAAACCATAATAAAAGCTCTTGCCTGTATTTCCCCATTGCTCCCTCCATCTTCTAACCAAACCAGGGCTTCCCTGTGTGGTCCAGCATGGCATGTTATGCCTACGGTTTCTCGGGATCTGTGGGTGAAACAATGTCTTCCTTCATGACAGTCATTTCCATGTCTGCATTTCCTACCACACCTGATTAAAACACATTCTCAAACATTTAATCCTTCCCAATCTAACCCTTGGAAGGAAAGTTATGACCAGCCTAGATAGCATATTAAAAAGCAGAGACATTACTTTGCCAACAAAGATCCGTCTAGTCAAGGCTATGGTTTTTCCAGTGGTCATGTATGGATGTGAGAGTTGGACTGTGAAGAAGGCTGAGCACTGAAGAATTGATGCTTTTGAACTGTGGTGTTGGAGAAGACTCTTGAGAGTCCCTTGGACTGCAAGGAGATCCAACCAGTCCATCCTAAAGGAGATCAGTCCTGGGTGTTCATTGGAAGGACTGATGCTGAAGCTGAAACTCCAATACTTTGGCCACCTGATGCGAAGAGCTGACTCATTTGAAAAGACCCTNCTGATGCTGGGAGGGATTGGGGGCAGGAGGAGAAGGGGACAACAGAGGATGAGATGGCTGGATGGCATCACCGACTCAATGGGCATGAGTTTGAGTAAACTCCGGGAGTTGGTGATGGACAGGGAGGCTTGGAGTGCTGCAGTTCATGGGGTCGCAAAGAGTCAGACATGACTGAGCTACTGAACTGACTGACTGAACTAATCTATCCTGCATATCTCCTTTTACTCTTTCATATTTTCCATACACTAACCTGTCTGTGATAGAGTGGGTAATCTCTTAACCTCTGTTTTCCAGTTTACTGATTCCCTTCTTATTTTTATAAGTTCCATTTGTTCTTTTTCAAATGTGCCTGCTATTCCTTATAGTATCTTGATTTTCTGTTCACATTTCAAATTATATTATTCATTTATTTAAATATTTTCTATGTTTAGAGAGAACAGCATCGAAACATGTATATTATCTAGGGTGAAACAGATCAGCAGCCCAGGTTGGATGCATGAGATAAGTGCTCGGGCCTGGTGCACTGGGAAGACCCAGAGGGATCGGGTGAAGACCCAGAGGGATCGGGTGAAGAGGGAGGTGGGAGGGGGGATCGGGATGGGGAACACATGTAAATCCATGGCTGATTCATGTCAATGTATGACAAAAACAACTACAATAATGTAAAGTAATTAGCCTCCAACTAATAAAAATAAATGGAAAAAAAATATTTTCTGTATAGCTACTCTATGTTTTGAGTCTGAGAGTTCCGGTACTGTCAGCCTCTAGGGGTCTAAATCTATTGTTTGTTTCCATTGGCTATGTCACATAATGGCTTAATTTCTCAAGTGCTTGCTTAACTTTGTGAGTTTATCACTTGACCTTAATTCTGTTGGCCTAGACTGAAGTCATTTGGGGGTGTGAGATGCTCTTGACATGAAGCTGCTTTATTGTGTAGGGAAGAATGAATCTTACCTGAGGAGAAGTCTGGCCTCCGCTGTGGGAGGTGGTCTCCAGATCTTTGGAATACTATGTGTGATAGGAACATTTAGATTTTATCTTGAATGCTTTCTCACCCTTTCTGCCATCTTCCCTCCCTTTTTCCCACCTCTTTTCAACCCTGGTGGGTTTTGTGTGCTTGTCTGCTTGGCAGCATACCCCTGTTGATTTTGGCTGGACTTAGGGCCCCTCACTGTTTAAGCACCAGGATTAATTTCTTAGATGGAGTTTCCCCCTTGACCTGAAGCTGAGCATCTGCTCTACCACATGAGGAATTCCATTTCTAGGTCTGTCTTTGGGGCTTCACTGGCCAGTTTCAATGTACCCTTCCAATCCTCGTTGCATCCTGAAGTGTAACATCTGAGTTAATAGTGCTGTCTTAGTTATAATCACTGGGGAGAACCCTCTTCAGGTTGTAGAGTACCATGCCTCATGCCGAGTCCATGGGAGAAGCAGGGTAAATATGCTGCAGTTCCCCAGGATGGCTGCATAGACACGGGGGTGTTTGTCTAGGCTTGATGACAACAACAGTGGTGATGTCAGTAGTAAGGGAAGGAACACTGCTTCCTCTCATCCCACTCAGGAGCACTGACCTCCGTCCACCTCCTCAGGGGCTGAAGACTTGCTAATCTGATGATGAAACAGTCCCAGACAATGACAGGTGGGAGGGGGGCTTTGTGCCTTGAAAGGTGCTATTTTTGGGTCCCCCACCTCTCTCTTGTTCTTTTCCATTCGCCTGACTCTGTAGAATTTGTAAACGGACACTTCTTCCTCTTTCATGTTGAGTCTAAGGAGTTGGATAGATGGACCCCGTGGGGCTCTGCGGGTCGTCTCTCTCTTTACTCCCCTCCATAAGTGCTTCTGAACTTGTTAGTTCCTAGATCAAGTGTATGGGGAAGAGTGAGTCCAGTGAAGGTCTGTCTCAAGGAGAATCTACTCTGCATTTTTCATTCTTCTCAGAATGTCAGGCATTTGAGAGCTGTTCATAAGTTGTTTTAAAATGTTCATTCTGACTCTGCACCTTGCATGTACCTTCCTAGAATCTTGTAATAGGGACTGGATGTGATTGCAGGGCAGAAGTTGTCATTTCTGGGTCTCTGACCATATGAACAAGAATACAGGCAAAAACAATGATTACCCTTCCTCCTAATAATCACTCTGAGGCAGGAAGTCATCATGCGGTTATGGGTTCCAGCACTGAGTTGTCGCCACTGCTGGTGCTGATGGAGAAGGAACCAGGAGGGCAAGGAGAGACAGACAGTGAGCTGCCGGAAGCGAGGCTCTGGCAGTCACAATGCTGCCCAGCACGGAATGCCTGATGCAGCTTCCCTGCGTCACCTCTGAGAGTAATTCTTTGTGACCCAAGGTCCAGCTTCACCCAAGAGAGGGATAATTTATTTTTAATTTTTTAATTGGAGGATAATTGCCTTCCAGTGTTGTGCTGGTTTCTGCCACACAACAATGCAAACCAATCACAATTACATCTCTAGCCCCTCCCTCTTGAGCCTCCCTTCCCCCTTGCCCTCCAACCCTCCAGGGTCATCACAAAATGCCAGGTTGGACTCCCCTGTGTTATATGGCAGCTTCCCACTAGCTATCTGTTTCACACGTGCTAGAGTATGCATGTGAATGCTACTTTCTCAATTTGTCCTACCCTGACTACCCTGTAGCTCAAACAGTAAAGGCTCTGTCTGCAATGTAGGAGACCCTGATTCAATCCCGGCATCAGGAAGATCCTCTGGAGAAGGGAAAGGCAACCCACTCCAGTATTCTTGCCTGGAGAATTCTATGGACAGAGAAGCCTGGCAGACTACAGTCTGTGGTCGCAAAGAGTTGGACATGACAGAGCAACTAATATTTCACTTCATTTTACTTCTCCTTTCCCTGCTGGGTTCACACATCCGTTCTTTATATCTGTGTCTCCATTCCTTCTCTGCAAATAGGATCATCAGTGCCATTTTTCTAGATTCCATATATATGTGTTAACATACAATATTTGTCTTTCTCTTTCTGACTTCACTCTGTATAATAGGCTCTAGGTCCATCCAGCTCATTAGCACTGACTCAAATTTATTCCTTTTATGGCTGAGAATGATTTCATTGTATATACACATCACAACTTCTTTATCCATTCATCTGTCGATGGACATCTAGGTTGCTTCCACATCCTAGCTATTGTAAGTAGTACTATAATGAACACTGGGGTACATGTGTCTTTTTCAGTTATGGTTTTCTCAGGATGTATGCCCAGTACTGGGATTGCTGGGTCATATAGTAGCTTTATTCCCAGTTTGCTAAGAAATCTCCATACTGTTTTCCACAGTGGCTGTATCAATTTATATTCCCACCAACAGTGCAGTAGGGTTCCCTTTTATCCACATCCTCAGGAGAGGGACAGTTTAAGTGACACAAAACAAGATGTCAAGTGGAGAGAAGCAAGTTAAAAGATGGACTAGAGTTGAACTTTCCCCACCACTTGGGCAGGCAGGAGTGTTCCCTGACCAGTCACCCCACTCATGTGCATCGGCCATGAGCCTCTCAGTAACTCCCTGAATCAAAAAGAAGCTCAGCAAAACCTCAGCAGTGCTGATAGAATGAGTACCATTCTATCAGGAGGTGATGCTTGGCTTTTATTAAGCCTCCTAAGTAAATGAGTTATCATTGGAGGAAGCAGCAGCGCGGGCATTATATTGTTATGAGCAGCAACCATCAAGTAAGTGGCCTCCAGACCCCCAGGCGGGCTCCCGGAGCTGACGGGTCTGTGGGCGTCTGTGCTGTGAGCCGCCTGCCGCCAGCTGCTCGTCTCCCTGCGGGGAGGCGGGGGATGTGGGCTGGCAGGGACGTGCTGCTCCAACAGGACAGCGATCAGCTGCTGCCAAGTCCCTCATTAGGGACTTCTCAACCTGGCCCTCCCTGGGCGGCAGCCAGTGTTCTCCTGCTGCCGAGGAGGGAGGTGAGGCAGAGGGAGCACCAAGTCCTGGAGTCAGCCAGGACCGAACCAGGACGGGGACGTGATGTTCCCGCTGTCTCCTACCAGCCCGTTCTGACGCGTGGCAGCCACTACCTGTGAGCAGTGGGCGGCACGTCCTCTGCCATCTCTCTCGTCACTTACTCCACTAATGAGCCTCTGGCCCAGGCGACTCGGAAAGTAATTGGCATGTCTTTGGTCCTGATGCTGGACTCGCTGAGACAGGAGAATAGATGTCAGTGTGTAACAGTTTCATCTGCTTTAGTGAGGCAGATTTCCCTGGCTGTATCTGCATTTGTGTATAATATTGTACTCTTCACCCACCCAAGGATTATGGGGGTAGGACAAGAAAAATAGACATGGCGCTCAAAGATCAATACCTAGGACCTGAGGAAGCAGATAGAATCTCACCGTTGGAGGTACTTAGCAATATCCAGGTTTTAAAAAATATGATCTTAATAGTCCAGTTGTATTATTTCAATGTGTGTAATACTGTACACTCAGTTTGGATCAACAAATGACATTTGTTAATGCACTTTTGACATGATAACTTTCCATATATAGTCGTTTGTTGTCAGGGTGGATAACAGCACAAGTGGGTGGAGACATCCTCCCAAAGCAGTAACATCCAGATTTTGAGGAAGGAGGTCCAACATCATTTCTTGGAGATACTGATCTTTGGGCTGATGGTCTGACCACTGTTCCCTTGGAATGGGGCGGCTCAGGGCTGGAGGCAGGGGCTGGGGTGGAGCAGAGGTGTCTGTCTGCATAGAATAGGATCAGGATAAATAAACACTGTAGCTGCTCCAAGCTGCATCCTCCGTCCATCCTTGGGGAGAAACTGAGGCAGTTTAGCAGTTTTGCCAGGGCCAGAGAAAATCATAGCCTTTCTGTGTATTCAGGTTTTCAGCATCAGAGGCCCTGGTTTGGATTTCACTTCTGCCCTCTTTATAAGAGATGTGACAGGAGACACAGGGCTCATCTAACTGCCCTTGGGGCCTGCAGCAAACAGGGCTGGAATACCCTGCACTGCTCCCCTGCATCCATCAGGCTTGGTCCAATACCCATTAGACCTTAGCAGATTGTCCACAGGTTCAGAACGATTACACAGGACTCTCTCTTTCATCTGAACATATCAAAGGAGTCTACAAAACTGAACAACGGTGGTGATCTCTTGGGGTTTTTTTTTTTTTTTTGCCCTCTTAGAAATCACTTTTTTAAAAAGTTAACACCAAGAAATGATTCCTTGGGTGAAATATGACGCACAACATTTCCCAAGATCCCTGATCATTCATCACAGATCAGGCCACAGGCAGCGTGGGCTCAGCTTCATCCGGAAACTTGCTTCAAGCCTAATTGTTTATTCATTGCAGGGATCATCAGGGTCCAAGAATGACAGGCAATGGGCCTAGTGTGAAGGATGTAGTGGGAGGGAGACGAGAGGAGTTTGTTATGTCTGCCTGCGTTCCAGCAAGAAGGTTACTGCAGCCTGGAGACAGTTCTTGTATTTACTCTGTTAAGTGTTTGAATTTCCTCCATTGACTTGTGATTGAGATAAATGTGTTATATGTCTGTTAATGTCTTTTAAAAAATGAAAGAGCTCCCATATTCAGGGCATCGAGGCACTCAGAAAGGCCAGGCAGGACAGCACCTCAGAGAAGGGTGTGAGTGCCTGCTTGTCATTGCTGGGCCCCTACCCTCCAGCCTGACTGGGGCTCCAGGGCAGAGGAAACGGGGTGGTGGAAAGACTGTAAACCAGCATGAGACAGTGATGCAAAGAGGGAGGGGGCCAAGTTACTCTTGGTTGCATCCAAGTGTCCAAAGTATAAATCAGAGATTTACTAAGCTAATATGAGGGAAGGAAGAACCAGTCCCTAAGAAAGGAGTCAGCAGCAGATAACTGAGGGAGCTGAAGTCTCCATTTTATCTTGGGACTGGGAGCTGGGCTCCAACCTCAGTGGAGTTCCATCTAGTAACTTGGGACATGAACATAAGGCTGGGGCTTCCCAGGTAGCTCAGTGATAAAGACTACCTGCATGCAGGAGATGCAGAAGACGCGGGTTTGATCCCTGGGTCAGGAAGATCCCCTGGAGGAGGGCATGGCAACCCACTCCGGTATTGTTGCCTGGAGAATCCCATGGGCAGAGGAGCCTGATGGGCTACAGTCCATGGGGTTGCAAGGACTTGGACATGACTGAGCGACTTAGCACGCACACATGAGCTTAAGGCCTACTAAGTAGTCTGACCAGACAGTCTGGAGGTGAGCTAAGCACTGTTTGTTCCTTCTTAGACACAGGCAGTAGCGCATCCTGATGGACCAGCTGCTGCAGAAGGAGCTCCTAAAACATTACCGTCTAGCCCATAAGCCTCAGACCCCGCAGCTGGGTCAAGCAGGATCAAGCAGCCTGCCCTGCAAAGGGAAGGAGAGAAAAGCCTCTCTCTCTTGCCTGGAATTGTCTCTGAGGTTAGCAGTGACTTCACTGAAGAGGTCTGAAAGGCCTCTCTCCTTCCCCCACACTGTGCTTCTGCATAGCACCCCTGCCTTCTTCAAATCTCCTCTCTTGGCACATTCCTCATTTTCTTTCTGTCCCTTTGGTGGCTTATTTGCCCTTCCCTGGATCTCTTTACTCTGCCCTGCCTTAATTGTCAGGCTCCCACCTGTTCTTGATCTGTTTCTCATCTCACTCTCCGATCTCTCTTTGGGTAATGTGGCTCATTCCTATGGCTCTTGTATTAATCAGCTGGGGCTGCCATAACAAATGATCACAACAGAATATTTGTTTCAACAGTAGAAATGGATGTTCTCACAGTTCTGGAGGCTAAAAGTCCAAGATCAAGGTGCCAGCATGGTCATTTTCTGGTGAAGATTCTCTTCCTGGCTTGTACCCAGCAGCCTTCTTGCTGTGTCCTTACGTGGAGGAGAGAGAGAAAGAGGGCAAGCTCTCTGGTGTCTCCTCTTATATGGGCACTAATTCCATCGCAAGGGACCCAGCCTTGTGATTTCATTTAAACCTAATTCTTCCAAAGGCCCCATCTCCAAACCCCATCACGATGGGGGCTAAGGCTTCAATATATGAATTTAGGGGGGCATTCCAATTCATAGCAGCTCCTAGTGATTTCTTAATGCACATTCTTAGCCCAGAGTTCTCTGCTAAGCAATCCGTCTATATTTCTGACTGAAACAAATTGATACAGTTGGGATACATCAATTGAACTCCTGGGGATGTCATGGAACACATTATCTTCTGTTCAAACCAGCCCCTTCAGCCATGTCTCCTAGGGTAATTCATGGTAGCACACTTCTTTGGGGCACAGACTCCTCTCTTGGGGCACTTGGGTTTGATTTCCCTCTCAAGCCTGACATTGGGTGGTCCAGAGCAGCTGTCCATCCAGCTGCTTCTGAGCACAGCAGTTATTACAGTTGGCCCCCTCCCTCCATGACCACGGGTTCCACATCTGTGGATTCAATCAACCACAAATTTAAAATAGAAGAAAATTTCCAGAAAGTTCCAAAGAACAAAACTTGAATTTGCCACGCACAGGCAACTATTTAGCTAGCACATTCACATTGCGTTAGGTGTTATAAGTAATGTAGAGATGACTTAAAGTCTGCAGGAGGGTGTGAGTAGGTTATATGCAAATATTATGCTGTTTAAAATAAGAGATTTGAGCATCTTTGGGTTTTGGTATCCATGGGGGTCCTGGGAACAATCCCCCTGGAAATCGAGGGGTGACTGTAACATATACAAGACTGTGGCCACATCTCTTCCTTCTTGCTGTTTTTTGTGCTTGATCGCTCAGTCATGTCCGACTCTGTGCGACCCCATGGACTGTAATCTCTGTCCATGCGGATTCTCCAGGCCAGAGTACTGGAGCAGGTAGCCTTTCCCTTCTCCAGGGGATCTTCCCAACCCAGGGATCGAACCCAGGTCTCCCACGTTGCTGGTAGATTCTTCACTATCTGAGTCACGAGGAAAGCTTTCTTCCTTCTACATAAGCTGATTGACTCTTTAAGCCTACTTCTCAACCCTAGCTTCATACTTTAAAAAATATGAATGCCTGGGCTCCACCCTAGGCCGATGAGTCCATCTCTCTGGGGAGGGGCCAATGGTTCTACAAGTTGCCCAGTGAGAGTGGGGAACTTAAGTCACTCCACCTGAGGACTCAGGTAATCTGTCTTGCGAATATTATAGCAGTAGTTTGGGGACCTGGAACAAGCTTCCAGGACTTACTCTGCATCTCTGCCTCCTCCCCTTTCTTTCCAGGTCATCCATGTCCTAAATCTTATTTCCTACCTTTGGCCCCGTTCCTCCCCTCTGGACTTGTCAACTCATCCCTATTCCTTGGGTTGACCATGGCAGCCTCTAAGGACTTTAACCTGCACCCCGTCTAGCACCTTATCCCCTGGTGGGCTGATCTGGTCTTGTTTAGCACCCCCTCCTCCCATCCCTCCATCACCAGGAAGGTCTAGAAAGTCCTTTGCTAGCCTCTTAAGGAATCACCAACATTACTGCACACACAGAGGATGTCTAATACACGCCGTTGCTGTCTGAGCCCGAAACTGATTCCGATTATTACTGAGTGATGCTGATAAATCCAGCAGCTATGTTTAATGATCCATTTCCTTCTTTTTTTGGGTAGCTTATTAGAAGAGGAAAGAAGAGGCCTGTGGCATTTGCTGGCGGAGATAGCCAATTTATTATCTGGCAGTTTTCCGTGCTCTGCTTTGGTGTAGACCACAGACAAGGGGCAGCGTGCCGGCCTCGGGGCTGGCTTGGACAAGAGTTTAATTTAGATTGTTGCGTCAGACTGTGTTTGCTTTCTGAAAACTGACTGCACTTTGAGACCCCCCCCTTAACAGCAGTAAATCTTAAGAATTCAGGATTAATAAGAACAAGGCAAGCAACACAGTAGAAAAATTGGCAAAGACAGAAACAAGCAATTCACAGAATAGGAAATAAAAAATAACCAATAGACAATTAAAGAACACTTACCATTCTAGTAATCAGTGAAATACAAATTAAAAGATAGTAAGAAAAAAAATAAAAGATAGTAGGAGATTTATTTCAATAAGTCAAAGATGTTAATAGACAAGTAATATAAAAAGAGATGCACACTGACCAAGAAACATAAAAAGATGCTCCTTGGCACTAGTCAGCAGGAAACTACAGATATAGAGACATCATTTCTCACCAGTCAGATTGGTGAAAATTACTAGTTGGCAAGGATACAGAGAAATAGATATACAAGGACATGTGATATACTGCAGGTGGGATTGTAAATTGTATTCTGGAGGGCAACTTATCAGTATATATCAAAAGTTTTATCAGCATATGTTAAAATTTTCATCAATTTGAAAATTTATTTTGCGTCAGAAGTGTTTTATAATTTCATTTTCTCCTGAAGCATCTTATCAGAG